GCATAATATGTTAATTAATCAAGAAAAGCATACAATAATGTAGCCTTGAGGTTATAGGCTCAAACCTACCAAACACTATCATCATCATTATACGAGCCTTATCCCAACGATTGGGGGTCAGCTACACGAATCTTGTTCCACAATTCCGTTCTATCAACTCTAAGTTACATCATAAGTCGTCATATCTCTTCTCACTACTTCTATTTGTATCCTTTCTTGGTCTTTCCCTAGTCATTTTTAAAGCCTTCTACTTGAAGAACATCACTCCTCCTCACTGATGTTGTTCTAAATCAACGTTGTACATGGTCAGCCTACCTAAGTATATTTTCCCTCATCTTATCACTAATTGGAGTTATCTCTCAGATGTATTTATTCTGAATTCTATTGTTTTTTCTCTTGGTACTCATCCATCTTAACAACCTCATCTCAACAACACTTATTCTGTGGATATGTTGTTTATTGACTACCCAACATTTGTCCTGTATAGCATGGTTGGTCTGATAGTCATCCCATAAAACTTCCTTTTCAGTTTCATTAGTATGCGGGGGCCACATAAAACTCGAGAAGCACTTATCCATTTAACACACCCAGCTCTAATTCTATGTGCGACGTCTTCCTCAAGCTCTTTATTCTCGTGGATTACCAACCCTAGATAGCGAAACTAGTATCTTTTAAGTACTTAACCACTGCCTCATTTGTAAAACCTACATTCTATATATTTTGTTTGAGTTCGGCTAATTTTAGAACTTTTAGATTCTAGAGCATTGCTCTAAAGTTCTAAATTTACATTAACACCATCACTAGTCTTGTCAATTAAAACTATGACATCCACAAACAACATATATCATGATATTTCATTTTGTAGATGCTTAGTTAATTCGTTCCAACCCACCATACATAAAAAAATCAAATTCATCCAACATTATACATAATATATAAATATATAGAATATAACGAGCCACCTAGGTAACCCAATATGGACCAAAACCTAACCTGCTTATATTATATTGATGTAAGGAGAAAATAAAATTGAAACAATAAATATAAAATAAAGAAAATTATTGAGAGAAAATACACTATCACAAGGTCTGAAAGGGAATCCACCCCAAAAACAAGGTTTGCAAGGGAATCTACCCCAAAAAGAACTTATTACAATATCAATTTTATTCAATTCTCATTCTTAAATCATTCTCTGATCGTTTACAATGAAGGGATATCTCCCTTTAAATAGACTTAAAAAAATAATAATTAAAAAAAATCGTTCTCTCTCTCTCACACGTGCACAAACTTTCCCATTTCTCTGTTCATCTCCCATATTTTCTCTCTATTTTTATGTCTTAAAAGATTTTCTTCCAAAAATAACCCTCCTCTATTCCTATCTTCTCTCTCTTAACCTCATGTGCCATCGCTATTTTCCATCCCCTCAACCTTTGATAAATCCAAAACATACCATCCCAAATCTAAATCTCATATCTTTCTCATATTTAAATCCCCTTAAATCTCTCACTAAATCTATTTAAACCCCTCCTTAAATTTCTCACCAAATCTCCATTAATCATCCCACTTAACAATACTTACAAAAAATCTTCCCTCCTCTTACATAACTTTATCCTTATCCTAGTACTCTTCCTATTCCTAATTAAAAATAAATAAACTCTATTTTTTATTTGTATTATTTTCCCCAAGTTGGGAGAAGCTCGACCTCGACCTTGACCTTGATTCAAAATGAAGCCCCTTCATCAACATGCAAGACTATCTCCTGAACTTGATTTTCTTCTGGAACTTTGTACACTTCTTTAGCCAAGTGTACCTCCATCATCGTTTTGGGCATTCAAATGCACGGTGCAACATGTGAACTTTGCAGTATCCCTTTTCTCTTCATTAAATTTTGGTTTGAGTGAAATTTCCTTCTGGGCATAAAATGGCTTATTGCTGCTCCATTGGTATTTAGTTTCTATTTGTAAAGCAACATGAAAGGTTTCACTTAAAGTCCATGACTGATGTAAAAAAACATCGTCCCCAATGGTTGGTTGAAGATCATTTACATATCGAACAACCTTTTGTTCTTCCTTCTCTTAGACGTTGTTTCAAGCAACTAATCGATAAAACTTTCTTTTATAATCTTATATATTTATCTCATTCTGTCCAAGATTTTGGAGTTTTTGAAAGAAATTTTGCTCATGATCCACATGAAAGAAAATTTCTTGTAATTTCTTTTTTATCTATCGCCAGTTAGTAATTTTTTATTTTCCATTACGAAGTCGAGATTGTTGAACTTGCTTCCACCAGGCTGCAATATACCTACGGAGCTTGGTAGCAACAAGTTTAACTTTACGTTCCTCTGGCAATTCACTCAATTCAAAATAATTCTCAATTGCACTTAGCCAATCAATAAAAGCTTCAATGTGAAGCTTATCATGAAATTCCAAGAGATTGATTTTAATACCGAAATCTAGTGGTTTCTCTACAAGATACGGATCTCGTCTACAAATTTCTTCTTGACATTTTGGATCAACAGCCCAGGTTGGTAGGGAAGCTTGTTTTGTCTCTACGGTGAGATTTAGCGTCAAGTTGAGGTTGCGGGCAGCCCCCTTCTTGATGAATGATATCCTCCAATCGTTGCAACCTTTGATTGTTTCACTTATTTCTCATTGGATACCCTCCAACACTGATTCAAGCTCTCCTGAATCTGCTGACCCATATAATCCATGAGTTGCGGCAATATATCCTCGAGCGTAAGAGCAGGTTTCGACAACATTATAACCGTTGGATCTTTGGATCTTACTTTCTCCGATACCAACTGATGTAGGGAGAAAATAAAATTGAAACAATAAAAATAAAATAAAATAAATTGTTGAGAGAATATATCATCTCTCAAGGTCTGTCAGAGAATCTACCCCAAAAACAATGTCTGCAAGAGAATCCACTCTAGAAGAATCTCATCACAATATCAACTTTATTCAATTCTCATTCTCTAATCCTTTACCATGAAGGGATATTTCCCTTTAAATAGACTTCAAAACAAATAACTAAAAAAAACCTCTCTCTCTCTCTATCTCTCTCTCGCACGAACTTTCCCATCTCTCTTTTCATGTCCTTATTTCTCTCTATTTTTACATCTTAAAATATTTGCTTCTAAAAATAACCCACCTCTATCTATCTCTTCTCTCTCTTAACCTCACGTGCCATCCCTATTTTTCATCCCCTCAACCATTGATAAATTCAAAACATACACTCCCAAATATTAATCTGATATCTTTCTCATATTTAAATCCTTCTTTAAATCTCTCACTAAATCTATTTAAACCCCCTTTAAATCTCTCACTAAATCTCCAAAAATCCTCCACTTAATAATACTTACAAAAAAACCCTCCCTCATCATACTTAACTTTATCTTTATCCTAACTCTCTTCTTTTTCCTAATTAAAAATAAAAAATTAAATAAGATCCTAGCCTAGATGAGGGTTGAGTCAAGTCGACCAGACCCAATTTGCCAGCCCTCTGCCGTAAGAGCACCCAAATATCACGGTCAATGGTCATCACAGCTAAAGGTTGACCATTTTAAGGAAAATAAGAATAACGGCCTTTGTTTCCATAAATTTGCCTTTTGAAAATAAGAAGGATAATTTAGGCAAAGAATCCATTTACAAAAGGATGAAGTTTCTATAGGGCCTAGGCTGTATAAAAGCAAAATAAAGCCTCACCTCAAATCCTCGTTTGGAAAGCACCTTTTGCAACAGAAATCTTTATTATGCATCTAAATCAATTTCAAACACCAATAATTTAATTTGAAACTCAAAATGGCACAGATCTTGCCAATCCATGAGTAATGGATGGTCTAGATTTATTACAATATGCACGATTTTTTTATCTTAAAATCGCAACTTTTTTTCATAACTAATATGTTGTTCAAGCTAAGATGATCAATGTAAAGGTTTTCCAATGCTTGAATTGTAATCTTTGATTAGTCATGAGGTGAGGCTTTACTTGTTTTGGTTGGGCTGCACCCCTATCACACCATTCTCCTTTATTTATTTCCTCAAAATAATTTCCCCTAGTTTTTACTTTTCTTACATTTTTCTTATTTTTTGGTTTTTTCCTCTTTCTCCATTTGTTCTTACTTTTTCTTTTCTAGTTTTTGTGTTGAGCAACAGGAGGATATCTCTTCCCCCATTGTAACCCAATATTCCCATCATTCGCTCCTTGGGAAGAAGGATGATTAATTTACTAAAACAGAGTGCACTCTTCAACTACGTTTACTTTTTTCTTCTGAAGCTTTATGGGAGTAAATTCATAATGGGAAAAGTTTATATAGACCCGAGGCTCTAAACAATCAAATTAGAGCCTACCTCAAAAATTTCATTAAAAGAAGTTGTTTTCATGTCCAAATATCCTCAAATTGATCATCTCAACATCTAGATATATGGACATGAAAAAAAATAGGTTTTCAAGTTTTGAAAATAGTGCATTTTGTGACGCATATTTAGACCGTCAATTTTCAAGACTAATAGGTTTTCAAGTTTTGAAAATAGTGCATTTTGTGACGCATATTTAGACCGTCAATTTTCAAGACTTTCAAGTTTTCATAGATTTGTCAATCTACTATTTTTAAAGCTTTAACTTTATAAATAAATATGAAAATTGGTTTTCAAGTTTTGAAAATAGTGCATTTTGTGACGCATATTTAGACCGTCAATTTTCAAGACTTTCAAGTTTTCATAGATTTGTCAATCTACTATTTTTAAAGCTTTAACTTTATAAATAAATATGAAAATATATTCCACGGCTATCATAAAGATTTTCAATCTTGAAACCACATTTCTCGACACTATTCAAGGTAGGCTCTAATTTGATTGTTTAGAGCCTAGGCTCTATACAAACGACACCCATTCATAATAACTCTGTATGTTTCCAATTTTATATGCAAAATAAAAATACATGGACAAAAAAATAGGTTAAGAGGGGATCAAAATCCAGGTAATATTAATTGGAATTACACATACTAAAAGCTGCACCAACAGCTTATTTTGAACATTGAATAAATATATGAGTATAAATGATACAATCTATACGTATAGAGAGCTCTTCTCATAAAACAATGATACCTTCTTCAATGAATGCGTATAGAAGGCAGATCGAAGGCAGGATCCTCTTTGTCTCTCTTCCAAACCTACTGCCCCCAAATTCCTTTTGCTAAGTATACAAAAATTAATTTATCAATTTGTATACAGTCTGTTGAGGAGCTCCAACAAAAGAACAGCCGCAGAGTCCTTGGCCTTCTTCACGCTTGGCATTGGTTCTCCAACACAGTCCTCTGTCCATCCTTTATCGTTTGTTAGAACACGCACCGAGTATGTGAATCTCTTAGCATGCGCTGGACCACCCTCATTTATGCACCTGATAATACCATACCACAATGGAAATCAGTAAGGGTGTTTTAGTTATAACATTGTGCAATGCACGGTGATATTCGGCACAATGTCAAGGCCCTATCTACCACCTGTTCACACTGAAAGATGGTCAGATATTAACTTTAGCAGGGTGGATGTCTCATCTATGGGACCAACATCAGTCAATCTCTCACCATCAACCTGTGGGAACAGAGAATACATGTAGCCCTGGAGTACCAGATACCTTGCAATGACCCTGCTCAACAATTACTTGTAGCATACAAAACTATCCACATCCTGCCCCTTCATAAGTTGGACATCCTCTGCCAACGGGTTAGAATATAAAATTTATTCAACACAGATCTGCAAAGTAGTAGGAAATTTGCTCCAAACTCCATGAAATTATGTAATTCTTCAGAAGAAATTATTGTTTTTGTAAAAACTTCCAAAACTAACCCCTAAATCCACTCTCTTTCTCACACAATGTTTCAAGATTGAATAGAGGCTATCCAATTTTAGAGGGAGAGATCAGAAACTCAAAATTCATTTTTTTCCTTTGAGAATAATAATCTAGTGATTCTTAAGGGGTTTCCAAAAATCTCAGAACGGAAAAAATCCACCCAAGTAGGTATTTTGACCAAGGGAGTTGATGTACACTAGGCTCCCATGGGAGCATAGCATATGCTCTCATAAGAGAACGAGAAAGACTCATTACCTGTATTGAGGCATGGGCCACTGTCTCCTAAGACAGATATCATTCAGTGTCTGCCTTGTGAAGGTTTGAACTCCATTTTTCTTCTTTCCTGTCTCTCCATTGTTGGCCTGAGACTCTGTTTCCTTCTCTTTCAAAACTGCAAGTGCATTCCTAGCAGCTAATTTCTGAGCCATCTTCTTTTGTGGGTTCTGAGCAGTTCCAATCTCGATGCCATCCACAAAAACCTGAACAGTGGCGAGGTTGCCAGCCCGTGACGCCTTATACTCGAGACCCTCCGCCTGCTGTTGGCAGCGCTCTTGGAGCTCACGCACCGGATGCATCGGAAGCGTCTCCGGTGTCACCATTGGATGCAATAATGGTTGAAAAACCTGCGCCATTAGCGGGAGAGTAAGTTGCCTAAAGCTCATGCAAACAAATCTTATCATCAAACTGAAAGCTTTCTGCTGTCTTGAATCTACAATGGAACTAACCTTCCAAACAACAGCAGTATTAAGTCCACTATCCATAAAAATGGCACCAGCTATAGATTCAACTATGTCGCCAAGCACTTTGGGAGCTTTGCAGTCTCCTAGGCCAAAAGAATTGAACCCCGGTTTACTAAGCTCATCTTGAACATCTCTCACAAAGTTCCTAATCTGAACACCAAGGAGAAGATTAAAGGGGGAAGTTCTAAAGAAGCAAATCATATGTAATATCTTTTTCGTGCTCTCCTCTCTCTCTCTCTCTCTCTCTCTCTCTCTCTCTCTCTCTCTCTCTACTACTACTACGTACTACACGCGTACGTACGTACTACGTCTACGTACGTACTACGTACGT